GTGCGCGATTGTGGGGGTTGGGTGGTGGTGCTTATGGTGGTCGGGTAGTGTTTGTGGGATGGTGGGGGAGGGGACGAAGAAGGTGGTGGTAGTTGTGGCTGTAGGGTTGGGAGTGGGGGCCGATTTTGGAGCGACTGGGATGTCTTGAGGCCAGGGGATGGTGGGGTGGAAGAAGGGTGGGCTTGCTTGCATATTGGTGGTTGGGATGCCCCACTGTGAAAAAAAGGAGCGGCAGGCAAAAGTCTCTCAACCCGGGGAGGCACCCCTGACGCTGCTGCGGCTGCTCGGTTGCGGTCGGCGCCCGGGGCGCCACAGGGCTTGCTCACGGACACACCAGGCTCCCCACCACCGAACAACAACAGCCTGCATGCTGAGTCACCACAGGGCAGCACTCCCAGCCCACTCGCAGCCCCCACTTTCTCTGCTCCCATGTATACATGGCATTCCTGCTCCTTTGCTCCACTCTCGCTCCAACACACACACACACACACACACACATGCGGGCGCACACCCACACGCATCGACATATGCTTTATGCACACGCGCATGCGCGTGTGCACAACTCTCCCGCCCCCCACCTGAATCAGGGGGTCTGTGTGCCGCAGCGCCGCCAGCAGCGCCTTTGTGGGGTCCCCGCCGCCCTCCCCTCCAAACGCCACCGGCTCAGTGAACACCACCTCCAGCACGTGAGCACCGCACGTCCACACAAACGCGCACAGCACGCCCGCACGCCATGCAGCGGCTACCAGCGCTAGCGGCGGCGGCGGGAAGGGCGCGGCGCCGCCGCGGGCGCCGCGCCAGAGGCTCGACAGCGCGAGGGGAGCCGCGAGGAGCAGCAGGGCTGCTGTGGGCAGAACGAGCGCGGAGCGCGCGGCTGCGGGGGGTGATGGAGCGTTAGGGCAGGAGGAGGGGCCGCGTTTTAAAACCCGTGACACTGGGCATCACACTTGGCCATAACACCCATACACGGCATGCACACGGCCAAGGTGGCACCCTCAGTCCAAGCGCAGGATCGTCCAGTCTGCGGCCACGCCCACACACTCAGCCAAGCATCACTGCTCTGCCGCACCCCTTGCCATGCAAGCGCGTCATGCACGCCGACACGGCCCGCCCCTCACCCGCGCGCATGCGCTGTTTGACCCGGAAGTATCTGTGTCGTTGGACTATGGGGTAGGACAGCACGTTCTTGGCCCTTTTGAGGGGGGGTTCAGGGGACGAGAAGCGGGCAGGAGCGTGAGCCCGACCCCTCAGCATGTAAGCACAACAACCCAGCAGAGTGAGTGCCCTGCAGCAGCGGCGTGCGGCACGCTGGCCTACGCCTGGCCGCAGGCCCCTCCGCACAAGCGCCGCCTGCCGCCTGCTCACAAGCCACTTAATGGTCCCAGAGGGCCGGGCGCGGGCAGCTGCTCTAAAAGCTCACGCCCACAAAGCCGATCTTGCAGACACAACACGCCATGGCTGGCCGGGGCGCTGGCCCCGCCCCCACCTTACAAGGTAGATCACGGAATAAAGCAGCCCAAGGCAGGCGCCATAAGCCAGCAGCCACTGAGTGCCGCCGTTCACTGCGGCGGAGGGTTGGAGCGCGGTGGCATACATGCTGTGGGGGCTATGGGCGGGGGCGGGCCCGCAGCACAAGGCACAACTCCTCACCAGGATCAGTCGGGCACTGCATGGGCAGCTGCTGCACTCTGCATCACTGCAACGGAGCGCTGCTGCAGAGCCAGAGTGGGTGCGGCCGCCCAGGGCCCTGGTGCATGCGGAGCCAGGAGGCCGGCGGCAAGAAAACGCAGCCGTCGGTGGCAGCATGCGGGCATGGTGCTCACTGGTGCGAAGCTGCACTCACCCCCTTGGACGGCGCCGCCTGCAAGCGCCGCCACGCCGCATGCACCCGATATCGCCGCGGCGCCATACAGCGTGAGGGCGCCCGCAGCATCAGCCGCGCGCCGGCTGCGCAGCACGCAGCGCGACACGGCGAGCCCCGCCCACGTGCGCGCAGTCAGCCCCAGCCGCGGCGCGTGGACGGGCGGGACGTCTGATGAGGATAGTAGCCGTCGTTGCGCGTACAGGACAAGGAGGGACGTCGAGTAGAGCGCCGCCGCATGCAGCCATGCCGCTGGCGACAGCAGGCGCCATGCCATGGGCGAGTGCGGCGCGGCGGCCAGGTGCCACAGCGCGGTGCCGATCGCAAAGAGGCCCGTGTGCCAGCAGGCCGCGCCAGCAAACTTCCATGCCACCAGGTCCTTGAACGGGTCGTCCGGGGGCGGCATAGCTGCGTCAGATCCGCGATCTGCGCTTGATTTAACGCTGCGATATAATAAGACCAATCATCCACGATTTTAAGTTGCGCTAGCCTAGGAGAGGATGCACGTTGTGGCAGTACTGTAGGTACGTGAGCGCCCACATTTGGATGTGGAATTTGAGCGCAGCTGGAGTGCAGCTGCTGCAGGACAGCTCGGCCTTGGTGAATTGTCCTGCATAGAGCCAACACCTAACAGTATGATCTGCTGCATCATGTGGCTTGCTCATGTTCACGCTCACACAAACAGCTGACCAGTGGTCAACCTCTCTGGATACAGGGTGTGAAGCCTGATAACCCACAACAGCCCCTTGCTTGGGTCGTTCCTCTGTGCCTGCTTGGTGCCGCTAGCTCAGCACTAGCCCAAGCGTCATACAGTACCTCCAGTCTATGGAAGCGCTGGCTGCTGCCCGTAGGCGCCCGCAGCACCCCAATCGCGGCGTCTTGTTTGGTGCCTGTGCGTGAAAGCAACGCACGCTGGCGGTCGGCTCTTGAGTACAGAATTCGGCAGACTTGTGCGCGTTGAAGCCACCAACTGCAGGCACATGTGGCAACCACAGGCTACAGCCGCCTCCCGTTGACATCTGCCTCGCAGACCGCAGACCCTTATCACAACCTCTTGCATGCATGCGCTGCTGCTCTGATCAACAAGGCATGCACTGCAGAGGGTCTCTTGCACACACCATCTGCCAGCAGGTGCCCGTTTTGTACAGTTGATAGGTCCTTGACTGTGACTAGCAGGGTATTTGATTTCGATTTGGAGCCCAGATTGACCCCAGGGTGGCGATCAGATGGATGGCCTCGAGGCCGCTGCGCCCAGCCAGTGCACCCGTCCACCACGTAAAGACGTGTCAGCCTCTCCGAGCACAGGGCACGGGGTTGCTGGCTGTTAAGTTTCTAGGTTGCAAGCGAGCCTCTGATGAGGTCACAACGGTCCATTAAGGAGTACTGTGGGGGAAGAGTTGCTGGGCGAGCGCCCTGAGGCTGCCTCTGCACCAACTCTTCTGAAGAGTTGTGCACTGAGTCAGTTCGCCGCAGGCAGCCAGCTGCAGCCGGCATCATGCAAAGAAGCACACTAGTTCCGTATGGGGAGACGGCTTTAGTTGCTTGACCCTAGCTAGGCAGTTGCTGCAAATCCGACTGTGCCACGCGCTTTGCCTTCAGTCCCATCACACTCCTGCCACTCACCTTGCAATGCGGTGCAGGTACTGTAATGTGTGAATGTGCAGACCCGCACCTTGCCCTCTATTTGTTAGTATGCTGTGCTGCTGTAATTTGATAAACAGGTACCCACTGGGCAGCATACCGGGTGTTGCCGGACTTGGTTGTGACATTGATTGATCCATTGATGGCCACAGAGGGAGGGAGGGGTCGTGCGCGGGCCCGGCCGCTGCTGGCCGTGCGACCCGCTGGCGGTATCATAGTAATGGGGGCGGTGTGCGCCCGGCATCTGGCATGATTTCACATGAAATTCCTCCTCCTGGCTTGCGTACGTTCTTTGCGTTTGGCGCCAGCGCGGCAAAACTGACGAAGAGCTGGAACCGGTTGCAACCCCGACACGAATCACACGATTATCTTACACTTGTTGGCAGCCTAGATACAGAGGTCTGGAGCATGGGCAACCAATCGTTGTCACCAGGCTATCGAGGTTCAAGAACTGACCAGACTCACTTTTCCTCATGTAGAGCAGAGCGTTGGATACCAGTAACATCAATTGATTCGCGATATAGAGGCATCAAGACCATACATCACACTGCCCGACCAGGCCACACGCAATGATCATGGACGCTGTCCGCCACTCCAGGGCTCTCGGGGTCGCTTCTGGCCAAACGGTGAGGCCGGGTGCGATGTATCAATCCAGATGGGTGATGGCGGTGCGTTCCTTGTGGCTTGAAAACAACTCCGCCCCAAGGCAGGATCTGTGCGGGGCGCTACCTGCGCAGCGCCAGCCACAAGGCCTTGACTGGCGCACCGCTTGCTGCAGCGCGGCAACTGCGCAGACGCTTCAGACTCTCAATGTTTGTGTACAGTCCTAGATATTTGTGGTGCAGCTCGCTGCGTGGTGTCCGGCGCTCTCAACCACACCTGGTCTGGCCACAACAATGACGCCTTTGCCATGCGACCACCCTGCCGCGTAAACCGCACAGCTGGCGGCCCAGCGCACCACAGTCGTCCCGCGCGCCGCCGCCACGCGCTCCAACGGCGTGACCTACAACTTTGCTTACAACGCAAACGGCGTCGCCGTTGAGACGATGATTGCGCGCGTCAAGGCGCCCCCGCGCCCACCGGAGTTTGTGCAGTGGGCAGAGGCCCAGCCCGTGGGCCCGACGGTGGCCGGCGCGGCGGCTGCGGTAGCGGAGCTCAAGCGCGCGGCGGCGGTCGAGTCGGCGGCCTCGGTGGCGGACGCCAAGGCCGCCCTGCTGGAGCGCATCGCAGGGCTCAACAGGTGGGGGTGACAGGAACGCGTGGCGCAGCGCTCCGAGGCGCCGGCCGAGCGAACTCTGGCGGCTTCCGCTGCGTCCCAGAAGGCCGCCGCTACTCATTGGACAGCCGGGTGCTTGCTTCGTGTTGCTCCTGCGCACCGTGTTTGAGCCGACGGCCTCTTTCATTCGCACACACACGCACACGCAACTGCCAAACCCGCCGCACCTGAGCAGGGGCGCCCTGGCGACCAACGCCGACAAGGAAGCCGTGGCAGCCCTGGTCTCCGCCCTCGAGGCCGCAGGCCGACAGAGCAGCAGCGGCAGCAGCAGTGGGAGCAGCGGCGGCGGCAGCCCAGAGGGGAACGGCAGCGGCGCCACCAGCGCCGCTGCGGCCGCGCCCAGCGGCCTCCTTGACGGCCGCTGGGAGCTGCTCTACGCCAACACGGAGGCCTTCCGCAACTCCCCCTTCTTCGCCTCATTTTCAAATGTGGTCAGCGGCCTGGCAGACGTCGCCGGCCTCAGCGGGACCATCGACGTCCCGAACGGCGCGCTCGCGGACGCCATCTTCGCCTTCACCGACGCCATCCCCGGCGCCACGATCGGCGCCGCGTACCAGATCATCACGCCGGGCGCCCTGGTGTCCGAGGTGGACCTGTCTGTGTTCCCGGGCCTGAGGGGCACTGTCGTCACCCGCAGCCGCCTGGAGCGGCCGGCTACTGCCGGGGGCGCGGGCGGGGCGCCGCAGGTGCTGGAGCTGTTTGTTGAGAGCACGCGCGTTGAGCGCAGCAACTTCAGCCCGCTCCTGGACCAGGTGTCAGTGCCCGTGGAGCAGCTGGTGAGCGGTGCTGAGGGGCACGGGGTTGGGTGGTGTTGTGAGGGCGTTCCGGGTGCGGCGGCCTTGAGCGGCAGAGGAGGTCACGCGGGGTACATCACTGGCGTGGGTGGCGCGGTGTGCTGTGCAGTGGGGACTGCACAGGGGGCGCGTCGAGGGGTGTGTGGTAGCAGCCGCCAGCTGTTGCTCACCCCAGCAGCTGGAAAGACGCAGGTCTGTTGTTGGGTTCAATTCGTCGGTCCGCTTCCCTCTGCACATGCATCCACACCCACAACACACGCACACACTCATATGCGCGCGTGCGTGTACATGCACACACATTTGCGCGTGCACATGTACAAACACACACCCACACGCTTGTACAAAACACCCATGCATACGCAGATTGAGCGACTGCGCGGCAGCGAGGCGGCGCGTGTCACCTACGAGGTCACCTTCCTGGACCAGAACCTGCGCGTGACGCGCTGCGGCAGCCAGCTGCTGGTGCACCGCCGCGCATGACATGCGAATGGATGAGCCTGTACCACCATTAATGTTTCGCCGCAACGTCATACCGGCATCGTGGTTGCACCCGTTTCTGGGGCCTCGGCTGGTGCATTGAGGCCTGCATCCGCCGCTGGCTGCAGCTGCGAGGCCCCAGGGCTGTGTGGCTGCGGGTGGGCCGCATGATGTACGGGCTTGATGAGTTTTGTTATGCAGGCTGTGAGTGTTCCAGCTATTGACTGAGCTACTGTATTGCTTTCATTCCTGGCTGGCTGTGGTCAAATTATTTACACGCTTCGTCACAATTGTTTGGAGAAGCCACAGAAGCAGCTGGCAGAGCTTAAGGAACAAAACAGTTGTTTGCGGTTATCTGACCCTCTTTGCTTTCAGGGGGCTGTTGCACAACGGCCCCTTGAGTGGGCCGGTCAGGCACCCACCCACGCACTTTCAACGGTTGGTACAGTCGCTCACCGTTAGACCCTTATCACGCACTCAAAGGCCTCTCCATCTGATGCTCTGCACTGACTTTCACATTGTAACTCAACTCAGTCAACTTCATGTGGAGCAGTCTCTATTCCAAAGATGCAGTGGACGCCGCAACCGCCATTCGCTTGCACATGCGTCGTGTTGCTTTCGAGGCCAAGGGTGTGGGAGTCACAGAGCACCACATGCACGGATCACTCCTAGAGAAAAGGTGGTTGGGTGCAAACACTGCAATACTGCACATCACGTAGCTGTTGCTGCGTGCAAGTCTTGCTGGGTCGTGTCTGACACCCCCACACCTCAAATTCACATCCCCCTGCGGTGCGCTTCCGCTGTTGACCAACACCAGTGCGCACTGGCCGCAAGACATTGCGCTGCATTGCCACCAGGCACAGAATTTCAGCTGGCAGACGCTTTTTGACAGGGTTGCGCTGCTTGCCCAACAGGGAACAAGTCAGTCGGCCGCGCAAAGATCTGGTGAGACCGTCGACGTAATTCAGTATCACGTGCGAACAGCGAGGATACTCAAAAGCCCGACTGCAGCGAGGAAAGGACATGTGTGCCGCGTAGGAAACCCACGGGTGCCATCAGGAACGGCACGTCACTATCAAGCCGGCCGCCGTCTTCTGCGCTTGACCTCCACCCTGCAACTTCGCGCCGCCGCCGCTTGTCGCCCTCCCGCAGCCGACACAGGAGCAGCTGCAATAGCACCACCGGCCCGCAGGACAGCCCACCGCCGGCCATGCCGCCCGGCGCCGACCCCAACGCCCTGGTGCAGCAGCTAGTCGCCCTGTGCCCATGGAACGCCGCCGGCGACCCGGCGCAAGCCGACGCGCTCATCGACCAGATGCCCTGCGCGCGCGGCAGCCCCCACGCGGCCACGCGCCTCACCAGCTCCAACCTGCAGGCCCTGCGAGGCCTGGCGGCCGAGGCGGCGGCGAGCGTCTTCTCAAACCTGGAGCCGCAGACCTCCCCAGCCCAGTATGTCTGCAACCTGGCGGGCGCATACAGCCTCTGGGCGCTGCGCGCGCTCGAAGCCGTGACCAACGGGAGCCCCGTGCGGCAGGGCCAGGTGGCGGCGGACGGGCAGCTGCTGGCCGTGCTGGTGCGCACGATGACGAGGCGCGGCGCCCCAGGCATCTCGTGGCGCCGCTTCGCGGCAGCTGCCCTGCGCAACGCCGCGGCGTCGACGCTCGCGGCCGCAGCGACGGTGTCGGCGGCGAGCGGCGGCGGGGGCGTGCCGGCGACGGCGGTGGTGGCGGCTGAGTTGCTGGTGGATTTCGTGAGGCGAGGCAAGGCTTTGGAGGAGGATCACTGGGAGCTGGTGCTGCAGCTGCTGGCCCGCGTGCTGCCCTCACAGGCGGGTGGTGGGCTGTGCGCCGAGCGGAGGCGGCCGCGGTTTGCGAGCCGTGTACCATGCGTAGTGTGCCCTTGAGTGTATGTCCTTGTGCTGTATGGGCGTTTGCATTTGTGCGCAAAGGGGAGACGCGAATTGTACGTGCGGGTCAGGCAAATGTTGGGATCCGTGGTGGCAGGGGGGCGCGGCTTGGGGGCGTGGGGCTAGGTGACCGCTGGACACCAACATTCCTGCCTGCACGCTCTTGCCCGCAGCTCAACAGCTCCGCCCTTGTTACACACACACACACACACACACACACACACACACACACGCACACACACACACACACACGCACACACACAC